GCCCAGAATGCATGATAGCCAGGCACCGAGGCGCCCGCCATGTCTGGCACGGCACGGCACTACACGACAAAGGCCTCAAGCAAAATCTGATAGTTTTAACAACAAAAGACTGAAAATTTCAGAGCTACCAGCGATAGAACTCCTTTATACTCTCCTTGAGCGTGAATCAGTCCTGTCCTGTCAAACAGACAATCTCGAATCCACCACTCGATCCCGATTCCGCATCGAATCCAATCCGCTCAGACGTATACAACAGCACACTAACTCCGAATCGAACTCCTCAACTCCACTCACTCAACCTCTATCCTATCACTGAATCAAGTTTAAGCCTATCCATCGATCTCACGCATTTTCTGCAACGCACACTCTTCACATCACTTTTCACCATCACGCGCGCTAACCAATCAAATTGCTCCAAACGTTCGCATTTATACTGCGCTCGTTGCTAGCCCCGCATCTACATCATCAAGCGCGCTAGCCAATCATCGCCCTGCAAATTCTTCCTCCTCAATTTCAAGTTTCGATCCGCCCACCGAGCAGTGTATAAAAAGGAGCAGCCGCAAACCGGCATCATCAGTTTGACTTCAGTCTACGAACAAGCCACACTCAAGCAACATCAGTCAGCAGGATTCGTCGCCAGCGCTCGGTCTTCGGAGGCATCGGCAGGCTGTGCCAGGCACGACTGCCTCGGCCCTCCGGCTCTCTCACACCCGACTCACTGGGGCACCTCGCCTGGACTCGCCGGTGGTCGTGTCCCTGTCCGACCCACTGGGCATCTGGCTTAGCCACTGCCTCATCACTCCTACGACCGCGCTCAACGACCAGCCCTTCACCAGCAGTCGCCGCGCTGCGATCAAGCAACCTCCACCATCTGTCGCACCGCGATCAAGCAACGGCCGCACTGCGGCCAGTCCACTCACCACAACTAACCTCTCTCGCTACCGGCGCGCGCCGCGCTACCTCACCGGTAAAGCATCTCAGCAACCACGGTCCTTTTCAGGAACAACAAACTGTTCCGAAGAAGTGGGTTGTCATCGGAGTAATGACGAACAACAAACTACATAAAATCCCACAGTACTATTCCCATACTTACCATGAAAAGTCCTAGCCAGGACAGCTGGTACATGGACAAGATTCAAACCCAGAACTTTCTCAATAAGGAAGAGGAGTCCTAACTGTGGTACTGCAGTGTTTGGTAAGAATCTAAGGCCATGCTATCCTCATATTCAATGGGTATTACCTGGGCATTCCATAGAGATAAAGCCACCAATATGTGAAGTTCAACACTAACCCGCTGTTTACGCTAAGATCTGAGAATCCATGAAGCCAAACATTCACAACCTTTATGCATGTCACAGAATGGTAACTATGCATGTAGGTAACCATTTCTTACTATCAATAAACCTCTCAGGTTTAATCAACTAATTTCTATAGTTTGGCGTTTATATTCAGGAACAAGCACTGGAACAGTTACACCTGCCTAGAATCTTATTTTGTCACAGAAACAAAACATATTTCAGTCCACTGAATGTAGACCATTCAAAGACTTAGAAAGGATAGAATCAGTTTTAAAAGTAATTTATTTTCATATATCATGAATAACTTATTTTATACAGTTGATGAATTTTTGAAGCATACAACTTATAACTAGTTACAGTGTTTGTTTAGCTTTGTATTGTCTTTCTGCTTTGTTTGTTTGTGTTATTAATATTATTATTATTGTTGTTGTTATTATTATTATTATTTATTATTGTTATTATTATTATTATTATTATTATTAAAGCACATTTCTTTGATCCAACAGTCACCCCGTAGGGCTGGATATAAAAATTGTCATATATCATGTCAGAGACAAACAGTCACATGCAATAAAATAAAATACTCCACCTCACACTGTGTGAAATCTTAACTATTGTAATCTACTGTAATCTATTGTAAACAATTTTAAGTATTGTAACTTTATTCTCTTATTGTAATCAGCCAATGTACAGTAACTGACTTGTCCTATATCATGTAACAATGATCTATAGAGACGCAATAAATAAATAGTTACACATTAAATGTAATATGTAAAATCTAAAGTACAAAGTAATAATAAATCAAGCCTCTTGGAAAACAATACAAGTTGTCAGTAAATAAAACATATAAAAATATAAAATAATAAATAAGGCCTTTTGCAAAAAAAGCGCAAGTTGTAAATCCAATTATAACAAATTAGAAAGGAAAATATTAATATTAAATTTCGATGCAATAGGTGAAGAACTTTCGGAGATCTTCGAGGAGAGCCAAACCAACAGTTACATTTCTATTTATATAGATTGATTGGTATATTTTTGTTCATCCCTTTATTTCCTATTTTGAAAGTAGGACGTAAACCATTGTAGAAATAAACCCTGGACACCATAATATTGGAGTTTGAATAACATGAGTTCGTGATCTACAGTCGAATGCCTTAGCTATATCACAGAATATGCCGACTGTATATTCTTTTCTGTCCCAAGCAGTTAGTATTACATTAGTTAGTATGAAGATCACATCTTCGGTAGATAATTCTTTTTGAAATCCAAATTGCTGTGGGAGTAGTATTTTGTGCTTTGTAATATGATCATTGAGTCTATTATAGATTACCACTTCAAATACTTTTGCAAACCCTGTTATTATTGATATTGGTCTATAATTATGTATAATGGTTTTATCTCCTTTTTTGTATATTGGTTTAATAACAGCATATTTTAATCTTTCAGAATATACTCCCATTATTAACGACTTATTAATTACTAGCTGTGCCCGGCCACGCCTTGCTCTAGCTCAGTCTGCCCGTTCTTCCCCAGTTTGATTTGAAATTACTCGACGCATTGCTACCGCTCCGCGAGTACGACGACCTAAGTTTGGTCTTCTGCGAGGCATTATTTGGATGAACTAAAGCAGATCGATTGCACCGAAGAAGAAAAAAGAAAGTTATTGCATATATATAGATATTTATACAATGTCTTATCTTAAACACATAAATAATTGCAAAACATTAAAAAAGGAAAGTACGCGAAATGGAAAACAAAGAAGAAACAAAAAAAATACTGACGAAATATTTCAATTCAAACGCAGATCAATCGACACAGCCCAATCCCACCGCCAATTGCACCGGAAAATAAGGGAAACAGTAAAGAAAACGAAATGAAGAACAATGAAAATAAACTATACTCATGAAATGAACGCTATGGTAAACGACACAGCCTAATTCCAACGCAATGTAACACGAAATAATTAAATGAAAATGAAAATAAATCGAAACTGTTTCTGCTTTGATTTCACTCGGAATCTCTTGTGATACTCGTGACCCCGTGATACTCGCGTTTCCATGGAAGTATACTTTCCGTTTTCATCCGTTGTTACGCAACGGAACCTATTATCCTATGCAACGGTCTGTTCTAGCTTTAATATGGAAACGACTGCACTGAAGAAGAAGAAAGAAAGTTATAACAGAAACATACGAAATTGCAAAACATTAAAAAAGGAAAGAACACGAACTGGAAAACAAAGAAGAAACAAAAAAAAAATAAAATAAAAAATGCTGACGAAATATTCAAACGCAGATCAATCGACACACCCTAATCCCACCGCCATTTGCACCGGAAAATAAGGGAAACAGTTAAGAAAACGAAATGAAAAACAACAAAAAATAAACTATACTCACGAAATGAACGCTATGGTAAACGACTCAGCCCAATTCCAACGAAATGAACGCTATGGTAAACGACAGCCCAATTCCAACGCAATGTAACACGAAATAATAAAATCAAAACGAAAATTTCGTTGCCACAACTCGTTGCCACGGTTATTCCTACGCAACGTTCCGCTGTTTCAACAGTTCGTTGCCACGGTTATTCCTTGGCAATGTTCCGCTGTTACAACAGTTCGTTGTCATGGTTATTCCTAGGCAACGATCTGTTGGTATTCGATGGACGACGAATAATGTTTTTTACCTGTTTTTACCTGTCACGGGCGTGACATCTATATAATAGGTTTATAAAAACACGCGCGTGTTCGAATGCAAGGTTGTGTCAAAATTTCAAAGTAATCGGTGAAGAACTTTCGGAGATCTTCGAGGAGAGACAAACGAACATTTAAATTTTTATTTATATAGATATAAGCTATGGGTTTACTTATTTGGTGCTTACTAAATTTAATTAATTTATTTGTTATATCATCATAACCTGAAGAGTTATGATTGTGACCAGTTTCATGTCCATTGTATTTTGGACTTGTGAAATGTGAAATATATGTATGTATGTACATAGGTCAATAAAAAGTAGTGGCAACACCTCTATAGTTCTGAAATGACTTTATTACCTGAGGTAAACACACTTACATTCTGTATGGCACAAACTCAGTCCTAAGTGCAACAATTTATTGTAGTTCTTATGTCTTCTTTTCTTCTACACTACATGTTTCTGCCGTAAATGGCCATTATCAGGTGTATACTCTCACGTAGCTGTTACACTGCACGTAGTTTAAATTTTAAAAACACCATCTTTCTTAATTGTTCATTTCTTTGTTGTTAATAGGTCCCGATATATCAGAATCCCCTTGCTGACATTTGTCAGATATATATAGAATCTTTGTTAATTTACATACATCAATTTCATTTTTGAATTTTGGTATTTTTAAAATCGTCAATTTAAATTTAGAAATTTTTTGACCATGAAGAAGAGGAATTTTATGTTTGGGCTCTAAATACGTCAGTTCCACTTAAAAATGAAAATAAATAGCAGTTACGAATATATATTATTAAAACAGCTGCTTTTCTTTTTTCTGATATGAAAATGGAACTTATTAAATCAAAATGTATGTGCCCTGAAGTAATGTAGGTACCATGTCTACGTTGGTGTCTCTTTTGGTGTATATCCATGGATGTTGTCAATTAGATGTAGGGATCCGTGGCGGTGAACAAATGGTGCCAGCCTAATGTACGAATTTACCATCAGTGTCCACTGGCAAAGTGAACCAACCAAGTAAGACCTGGGTTAGGAGCCATGTGTGCGGTTTTCTTTGGTCTCTCCAAATTGTAAAAAGGCAACACGTCGTGCTCTGTTTGTTCCACCAAAATAAATTCTGTTTGGCTGCTGGAAAGAGTTTACTGCTTTTAAAATATTTAGCTACTTACTCGACTTAAAATTTGTATATGCAATGGCAAAATTAGTTGATGTGTATCGAGCAGAAAAGAAACCCTCCATAAGTAGGAGACAGCTTCCACTTCTCATTGATGAAAATCTCGCTGTACGTATGGTAATTTATTTATTTCTGTATATTTTACGTTGTTGAAGCATATTGATAAGCAGTTCAAAACATAGCAATATGGCAGTATTTTAAGTGGGATGAAATATTATTGCTTTGAATTCATTTGTGTAAGAGTAACTCTTCGAAAGTTAAATCTGACCTAGTTGATTGGAAACTTTGTAAAGTAAAGGTGTGGATCCGCTACTGATATACCATAAATATAAGGAAGGTAAAGCTGTTTAACCACAGGAACATCTACAATATCAAATTTTCTTCACAGATGGTAATGGACTTAAACGGAATGGGTTTAGTGTGTGATAGCCCTATGATTAGGGGGAAAGAACTGGACGACTTTCTCCGAAAGTTCAATGTGTTAACTCCGTCAGAAATGAAGAGTGCATTTGAAGTAACGTGTAAAGATTTGTTGGGAATTCTGAGTCAGACAGTACCATGTGTTGGTTGTCGAAGAAGGTTAGTGACATATGTTTTTATAAATTCTTTTATTATAAAGTAATTTGATTATGCAATTTATATATATGCCTGAAATTCATACTCCTTTAAATAGTGTTGAAAGGTTGTTCTACCAGTTGATGAAGTCTGGGTACAGAGCTCTTGATCCTCTTTTTGTCTCACCTGAAGGAGTTTTGTCAGTTTGCAAGGCACAGTTGGAATCACCACAAGTGTTGTGTACACTTCTACATGGACATAGGTATGTAGAAATTTATCCACAGGGGAATCAATCAGCCATGTCTGTCCATTGGTGGCCATTAAACTGTCACATAAGTTACTCATTGTTTGATGGTTTATCTTGAAAGTACTGTTTGATTAAGTTGGTTAGTTGTCTTTGAGTTATGTACAAGTAGAATTTGCAGTGTTATGAAATATAATGTTCCATAGAAATTATTTATATAAAATACGACAGTTTTCTTCATGGAGAAAATTCTGTAGGAAGTATGCTGACAGTACAATGCTATGTAAAACAGTGATTATAATATCGTCACAAAAGTACATTCTACAAGAGCAGTGCTCAACAGAAGGCAAATGTACTGCCCTAAGAAAAGCTTTATGACATCTGCATGCAATTAGGAGCAAGCCTGAAGTTTTTACATCCTTTAGCTCTTAGGTGTTGGATGGCAAAGCGTACAGCTGACGATTGTACGAAGTTTCTAAAGTTATGGCTTTACAAAACTGTAGTCATACATAGACTATTGCCTCCAGGTTACAAAGCAGAAATTTGATACTGCAAGTGGTTTCAGGAATCAGTATTCAGTGGACTTCTTGTTCCCGAACATAGATTTTATTTGCATGAAACATCATTCACTTTAAATGGTTATGTAAACAGCTAAAATAACAAATGTTGCAGCATGGAAAGTCCTCTTGCTTTCAGTGAATTGTCGTTGCATGATGTTGGGATTTGATGTGCAGTTAAGTGCGCAGAGATAACTGGGCCCATGTTTTTTCTAAAGTTCTGAACACTATGTGAGATTGATGACCCTTTCTGGATCAGTGAACTGATGATGAAAAATTGTACTGGTATTTTATGCAAGCACTGTGAACAATTTGGTGGATACATTAAATGAAGTCTAAAGCACATGAGTCATAAGTCGAGGATTGTGGCATCTGCAGTTGTCCAGTTTACATCCTAGTGACTTTTATTTGTGGGTCATGCTGAAAGAAGAAACTTACTTGAAGAATCCATACTCATTGGAAGAACTTCAAGAAAATCGTCATCATCATCATCATCAGTAATCTGTCAGATGACAGGTCCGCAGTCTCTTCCAAAACAATTCCTCCACTTAATGCGATCTAGAGCTTTCTCCTTCAAATGACAGTATCCTTTTCTGTCCCCAAGGTCATCCAGCATCTTCTTACATCTTCTTCCTCGTCTTCTTGTCACTTCTATCCGCCCCTCTATCTTTCCTTCAATAACTTCTTTTAGAAGGCAGTGTCTGCATAAAACATGACCAATCCAATTAGCTTTCCATTTTCTTATTTCATGTAGGATATTCCTCTGCTCACTGACTCTAATTAACACTTCTTCATTTCTCACATAATCGGTCCAACTGATCCTCTCCATCTTTCTCCAACACCACATTTCGAAGCTTTCGAGGTGTTTCTGATCTATTGCCCTAAATGTCCATGTTTCAGCCCCATACAGAGCTATGCTCCAAATGTAGCATTTCACTAGTTTCTTCCTCAAATTTAAGTCCAATTTGCTGGTAAAAAGATTCTTCTTCTTGCTAAATGCATCTTTTGCCATGGCAATCCTGGATTTAATTTCACTAGTGTCAGAAAAATATTCTCACATTGTGAGGTATGCTTAGAAGCAGAGGGTCATCATTTTAAGACTTCTTTATAAAGTAAAATAAGTTAAACTATGGTAGAAAAGGAGACTGAATTATTGGCTACCACATGTCTGCTAGAAGAGATTAGTTACAGTTTTGCGTGTGACACTATGTCGTATAAAACTTTTAAACATAATAAATTTTATAGGGCATAGTGTTACACATGAGAGTGTAACTAATCAGCACTACGTGAAAAGTGCAACAGGATGCTGTAATATAATATTATGCTAGAAGAGAGTTCTGTTAGCCTCAGAAACCATTCTGACAGTAAGCTGTGCATATTGGTTAATGATACACAATTTACCCAACGATGTGTTATTTTAATTTATAAGATTTATAATTATTATATTATATTTTGCAGTTCAAGATTGATTGATTTAGTGGAAAGTCAGCCTCGTTCAAAGAAAAGCCATCGCTGTAATCTCCACTCCCTGGATTCACAGCGTTCACGTCCCATTACTAGTGCTTGGGTGGATGTATGGGAATGCATGCGACCCCAATGCAAAGAGGAGGTTGTGCTGATAGAGTCCTCCACTCTTCTGACTACTCTAGAGAACTATCTTCGCAAGCATAGGTATACACCTTTGCAATATATATCATAATACATGAGCTTCTTTAGTTTGTGCCCATGTTGTATTATCTACCACCATAGCTGTGGTAGAATTTGTGTTTTATTTATACTTACCCAAGTGGGCAAACACAACAAAGATATTTAATGAAATTATAATAATTTGAAGTAACCTCACTTAAAGGGTTCTATCTTCTGGTATATAATGCTCTGTACCCTCTTGAAAGTTAACCTGCATTTTGGAGGCACATATCACTTCCGTATTCAGGGTCAAAGAATAAGCTAAACAAGAAACCACTGTGAAGCAGAGCTCTGCCTACTACCTGCTGGATTTGTAGGTTATGAATAAGTGATCCCAATTATGCTCCTTTTATATAGGTTCTGTGGAGAGTGCCGAACTAAGGTACTCCGGGCTTATACGCTACTTGTGGAGGAGCCAGATCCTTGCCGAGAGAAAGGTTATGTACCTGCTCTGTATTTAGGAATCAAACGATGCATCCAAGAGAAGCACATTCATCTGCAGGCTCGAACAGCATACATTGCTAATCTGATTACACGGGCAGAGCCAGAACTGATGGGCAGGTGAAGTAAAATGTTCTTTGAGGCTGTATGTAATAGACATGCATTGACACATTGTTGCCACAATAATGTAAACACTGATGAAAAACAGATCTTGCTATCTCTACCCAAATTTTTTTATGAAACATGTAGACATGTAGACATCTGGAAGCCAAGTTTATTATTTGTATGCAAGATTTGATAATCGTCATAGCATTTGATCTCTTTGACACCTAATGGCTTACCTTGAGGACCCTCACTGGGATTCTGTCAAGGTGTGATCGTTATATTAGCTCGTGTAGACCTGAATTGTAACTCTGGATGTCCACTCCTTCTGCCCATACTTTAAGGATAATTGAATATTACATTTTTTAATGGAAATAATTGATTAAAGCTGTTAGGCAGCAGTGAGTGGGTAGCTCACAAGAATGTAGTGTACTGGGCAGGTGACAATGTAGGTAACAGCTGGTTGAATCATAAAACAAAAGACCTCTCAGGTGTGCATACAGCTGAAACTCCAACAAGGCGAAGAATGAAATACATTGAATGATTCCCAAATCATAGTTGTTGCTAACAGTTCCCATACACAAACACAGTTATGAAGTTAGTATGGTTGTTTCAAATTATTAAGTTTTGCGAATTTAATTTAAGGACTTAATAAAAACACGCTGGTCGCAGTGGCCAAGCGGTCTAAGGCATGCACTGTCTTCGCTCGTTCGGAAGCTGGGATCGTGGGTTCGAATCCTACTCAGAGCATGGATGTTTAGTGTTTGTGTATGTGAGTTTTTCTGTGTTTGTGTACAGGTAGAGGCTTTGCAACAAGCTGATCACCCGCCCAAGGAGTCCTACCAAATGTTTAAGATCTAGTAAACCAAAGTGAAATGGAGAGTTTCGTGGAGGTAGGCCTAGGCCCAAATTGGGGCTGTAGTGCCACAGGAAAGAAATAAAAACACATGATATTAATCCTGATTATAAGTTGGATGTTTTTAAAATAATAAGAGCATAATAAAACAATTCAAATGAGTTCATTTTGGAATTAGGGATTTATATATAATTTAGAATGGAGAGAATGCATGGCACACCTGTACACAGGAGTGTGGCACCGCGTGCGTCCTCTTTGAACAAGTGGACAGTTGTCAAAGTCACAGACATTCTGGCAGCTTGGAGATGTAGACAGTTTTACACAAGAACATGATGTTACATGCATAAGACAATGCAATGTGATGTTATAATGCCAAAGAGTAAAGTTCATTTAATGTTGAAAGTATAAGCCAGGTATACATGAACTGATGATAAAAAAAATGAATACAAATAAATGCCTAATAATGAAGTCAGCATTAATTACGCAATTAATTATGGTAATTGGATAAAACAGCATCAAGTGCTGCATGTGTATAAAGTCTAGATGCTGGTTGCTGAACTTCAACCAGTGTGAAGAAAGCAGTCTTCTGGGATTTGGCACCGTGTATATGTGGTGTTAACCGATGTTTCGGAGGAACGTATCGCCCCCATCTTCAGGGTAGAAGAAAAAGTATAAGAAATCTGCAAGCGACAACACCGTGAGAAACGGTGCCAAATCCCAGAAGACTGCTTTCTTCATAGTCACTGCCGTGAAAGCCTCAAATCTTCAACCAGTGTGTTTGAAAAGGCTAACGTTGGAGGAAAGTTACTGTCTTGATACATCATCTGGAAGCTAACACATTTGGTCACATGTATCCAGAATGTTGAATTAACATTTCCATTTTCAATCAGCTGATGATATTGGATTATGAAAAACATTATTGGAATTATTGGGTGAAGTGTTTACACAAGAGCAAGCCATTTGTAAATATACAACACTACTCAGTAAATTAAATTTTGGTATCTCTTTCTGGTATATAATGTGCCTTTTTGTGATTCCATTTGCAGTATGTCCTAAGTTTATATTAGTCACTTGATTTATTTTGCAACAAATTCTTTTCCGTCTTTCATTAGTTAAACATACCTTTTATTTGATCATGCAGCCGCAGAGAACGCCATGCAAAGACTCTGGAAATTGCTCAAGAGGAGGTTTTAACTTGCTTGGGTTTGTGTGTATATGAGAGACTGCATCGTATCAACCTTCGCCTTCGTGAGGAAGAGTGTACATGCCAAGTTCTTGCAGCGGTCGCTATAGAAGCCTTATGCCGAAACTTTGAGGTATATGCAAAGGTCATTCAAATTAATTGGAGAGGGTATATAAAGAAGTGTTCATGGCCTACTTTAAGGTACTATCATGGCACTTGGATGGAGAGACAGGAAAAGCACAAAGAAACCTCAGTAAGAAGAGTAATATCCAATTCAAGTGTCAACACCATGCTTTACATTCTTTAACATTATTGTGGGTTAGTTTTGACTTTCCCTGCGGGTATTTTAGGCTATTCCGCTTTCATACATTCACAAAATTATAAATCTTCTCTGCTTCTAGATGGCTGTGGAAGTGAAACAAGGAGTATCTCAGCTGGAACTGTTGTATGAACAAATAACAAAAGAGGAACTAGCAAAACAACAAAGGAAGGAACACAAGAAACAAAAGAGGAGGAAGAAGAAAGAAAAGAGGGCAGAACTGGAAGAAAAAGAGAATAATTGTGAGGTATGTTTGTTACATCAATAAAATTTATGTGTCGTTAATATGACTCTAGTCTGATTTTGTTGTTGTTACGGACTTTCAAATCCTGTAATCAGATCACAGGAAAGAGATTTGAACTTTGGAATCATGGGTCATTAGAATGAGTAACATATTTTCTTGAATACTTCAAGCCCTTAAATAGGCCACACACACAATTTATTCAAGTATAAAATAAAGAGAAGTTTATATGAATTTATTGAAGTTTAAATGTATAAATATTGCATATAAAAGGTTAAAGATAAAGTTGTCCCTGTGCTTAATAAAGCTCTATACCATGAAGTCATATGGAGCAGTGGAACTTCATCTTGGCAGTAGAGGGAGGTGAGTGGTCATTTTCACACCCCAGCCATTTTACTCTTGGGGAAAGAGCTCCTGGTACCCATTCAGTAAGCTAAGTGGGTCCCAGAGCTGGTCTGAACTGTGTGGAGAAGAGAAAAATCTTACCCCTATCAGGAATCAAACCCTGGGCATCCAGCCCATAGCCCATTGCTGTACCGACTCCTACGTGTTGAGTATACATTGTGCCTTGAAATTAGAATGCAGTATTCTTCTGTTATTTCTGCTACAGCATCTTATTGCATAATCATACTGCCCCTTCTCACATATTGGCAAAGCTACTGTTCCAGGACATCTTTGCTTCTGGCCATTAAAGGCTGTCTTAACTACCACTGCCTTTGAGCATCAACTCCATTCTCTTGTAAGATTTTCAGTACCATCATATTTTATACCAGCAGCTTGATTTCCAGTTTCTTCTACCTCCCAGAAGTTCTTCATTAACTATGAAAGAAGCACCCTGTAATACTTATGTTAGCAAAACATATGCACACAGTGCCTCACAGGTTCTGCTGGCTGTGTTCAGTAGTTTTCTGGTTTCCTGGCAGACTTCCTCTGTGGGTTCCACCAGGGAACCTTCTTGTCTCTCACCTATAATGGACAGTTATTTTAATATGGTGTGGCAGTTGTCTGCTGCAGAAATTCTACAGCTATCTCAGTGTCTTCCATGGTACCAAAGTGAAATGGAAACCCATCAAGCATGCCTTGCAGCTCTTCTGATAGAAGGCACAGCACGTAGTCTGCATATTCATGTAGTTTACTGTTTTCTCTTGTTCACCAAAAAATTTCAATTTGAAATTTACAAATGCAGGGAGGTAATTTAGTTTTGCTTATTACACCATACTACTGTTTGGACTACAGCTTTATTGTATCCTTGTTTAATTTTTTTTATAGCTGCTCATTTCTGTCATATTTCTCCCTATTTTATTGGTTTTTGTTTTTTTTTTAATATTAGCATAAAATAAATGCATATTTAATGAATTAATAAGTGAGCTGTGCTTGTGCAGTTAAAATTACGAGGGTTGGAACTTTAATAGTGGCAACTATTTATTTACAACTGATGCAAAATGAATGCATGTTTCAAAGTGTTACTGTCCTTAAATGTAGTCAACAGCATTGTGTACAACCCGTTTCCCGCAATGTGGAAGTCGTAGGATACCTTTAGCAGAAGAATCTCTGGAACAGTTCTGAAGCGAATGCCATGAAGTGGTTCCTTCATCTTAGGAATCAAGTCAAAGTCACAAGGGCTTAAGTCCAGGGAGTATGGTGGATGGTACAGCACTTCCCAGCCCCATCAATCGAACAAATCAGCCACAGCTTGCCATTTCTGCAGTTCCATCAAATCATGTGGAACCTATCGTGATGCAATTTTTCTCATGCCCAGGCGTTCCTTCAGAATGTGAAGCACAGTCATATGCGCTAATCCCGTCTCTCAGGCTAGCTCACGAATCGTATGGCGTCGATCACTGTCCAGTAACGCGGAAAGAGCATACACTTCTTCTTCACTGACACTAGGACGACCTGGCCGATGCATGTCTGCCACATTTTGGTGTCCCTCGTTGAAGGCTTTTACCCACCTGGCCACTGTTCTGTAAGGCAATGCGGATTGCCCGCAAGCCTCTTGAAGACCTTGATGACACTGTCATGCTGTACAGCCTCTGGCACATTCAATCTTTATCCAACTCCATTGTTCCTGTTTCGAAAACATTGTGACAACACTACATTCGACCGCCAGCTAACACGAGGCTCTGTTCATCTAGTCACTGCGCATGCGCGTGATGTGGGAAGGGAGAGTCCATTTACTCTGAGGTAAGGTAGGTATGTAACTAACGTGTGGTATAAGTGACATTATTTGGTTCCGTTGAATGGCATCTCTACAGCAGTGTTGCCACTGTTAAAGTTCCAACCCTCATATATGAATTATGGTCTAGATTAATTCTTCAAGATTTTTTAAACAAATGGTATATTATATGAAGAAAGTATGAATAACCTGAATTATTTATTTGGTTAATACCTGCACCATTGTTGAACATTTTCTCATTTTGTTGAAAGTACATGTAGAGCTTAAGAATATTAAAATTGTTATGTTTGAATTTCAGTGTGAATCAGAAGAAAATGCTGAACCCTTCAGTTCATGCACATGTTTGGACCCAAAACCTGCTCTACAAAACACTGATAGGCATAAGGTATATTTTTATAATATGTGACAAGTTTATGTCATGTAGGTCATGTGACAGAAGAAAGGCATGTGACTGTGATAGAATTTGAGATTTGAGGTTTTTACAGCGGTGACTATGAAGGATGTCGTCTTCTGGAATGTGGTGCAATGTAGTTCTTGTGTGAACAGACGTTTCAGAGGAACATACTGCCTCCATCTTCAGGGCAGAAAAATCCATGAGCAGGTGGCTGCAGACTGAGCCACCAGTCGAAAACACCCAGCTATATAAGAACAGCGAGGGAGAGTGGGCCACATGAGAAATCAATAGAGAGGAGAGAGATGGGGTCTATAGAGATGGGTGAGCAAGTAGCAGAGAGTGGGCCAGAGCTGGAAAAGGATTGTCCGGGGGGGGGGGCTATCGAGAGCGCATAGACCAAGTAGCCTCAGGGCTAAGCTGCCAATAGAATTTGATTTTCCCATTGTCATCTCTTTGTCTTAAAATGCACATAATCTTTAGAATATTCAAGAAGAGCACTGGTACATACTTTAAAATATTAGGTATACAATTCTGGAAGTTTGATAGGAGATATGGCATTACCATTCCATCTGATGTGCATTGATTTGGTAAAGTGGAGATGAAGATCTCAGTCATTACTATAATATGCTATTAACTTTCATGTGATATGGTACAGAAATGCCAACCACATTGAAGTCCCATTTATTATTCCGAAAACTGTGTAATACAGTGCTATAATTTTATGTGTATGTGGTAATATGGTGCTATACAGCACATTCCCAAATATCTGCACAGATTTACTGGTTTGCAGTGTATCCATGCTTCTTTTTAGGTACCTTTAACCCTGCAGAGTGCCTTTTAAGTTTTCTTTGTTCATCCATCTGTATATGAGGGGCGTTCAAGTTCTAAGGTCTCCGATTTTTTTTCTCAGGACTGGGAACAGATAGACACATGTGGTTTAGTTTAAAATACGCGTGCACTCTTTGTGAATGCGTGACAGAGATGGCAGCACTGTATGGCACACAGAACTCTAGTGGTGGCGGTGAGACTGAGGAGTGTTTTTGGTACCTAAAATTGTGACGTTTTCGTTAGAAGAACAGCGAGTAATCATTCGTTTTCTTCACAAATTCAAATTCATCGCCAGTTGTGTGAGACTTGTGGTGATGGTGTCATGAATGTGAAAAATGTACGTTCGTGCGTGCGACAGTTCAAAGAAGGCCGAACGTCGTGTGACAATGAACCAAAACAATCTCGGCCTCGCACCAGCCCATCTAACAACATGGTCGAGCAAGTTGAGAAAGTTGTTTTGGAAGATCACCAATTGAGTGTGGAAAACATCACCTCCAGAGTTGGCATTTCCGTGGGATCTGTGCACACAATCCTGCATGAAGACCTGCAAATGCGGAAAGTATCCTCCAGGTGGGTGCCATGAATTCTGGCGGACAACCACAAGGCTGCGCGCATGGCAGTTTGCCAGGCGATGTTGACACGTGATGAAGGCATGAATGGGACTTTCTTTTCATCAATTGTGACAATGGATGAGACATGGATGCCGTTTTTCAATCCTGAAACGAAGCGCCAGTCAGCTCAATGGAAGCACACAGACTCACTGCCACCAAAAAAATTTCATGTAAGCGCCAGTGCTGAAAAAATGATGGTGGCCATGTTTTGGGACAGCGATGGTGTAATCGTTACTTATTGTGTTCCAAAGGGCACTACGGTGACAGGTGCATCCTACCAAGATGTTTTGAAGAACAAGCTCCTTCCAGCACTGCGAGAAAAACGGCTGGAAAAGGCTGCACATGTGCTCTTTTGCCAGGACAATGCACCAGCACATCGGGCGTACGCGACGCAGCAGTTTCTTCATGAAAACAACCGTGAAGCGGTTCCTCATGCTCCCTACTCACCTGACCTGGCTCCTAGCGATTTTTGGCTTTTCCCAACATGAAAGACACTCTCCGTGGTCGCACATTCACCAGTCACGCCGCTGTTGCATCAGCGATTTTCCAGTGGTCAAAACAGACTCCTACAGAAGCGTTCGCAGCGGCCGTGGAATCATGGCGTCGACGTTGTGAAAAATGTGTATGGCTGCAGGGAGATTACGTTGAAAAGTGACAGAAGTTTCAAATTTTTTTGTATGATTATTGTGTGAGAAAAAAAATCGGAGACCTTAGAACTTGAACGCACAACGTATATAATACAACTTAAGAATCACTAAATGAATTTTCATTAGATTTGATATTTGAGAATTTGGCAAAAAATTTCCAAGCCATTTAAATTTCCATTCAGAACAGACAGTTTTAATGACCACATTACATGAAGATCTACATACATTTCTGCTCATATCTTGAGCCAGTCTCACTACATATTTAATAGAGTGAGAAGTGTTTTGAAGTGATGTCATGTAATTTGGTTAGATACAAGCATTTCAGGGGAACCTGCTGCCTCTGTCTGTGAGGTGGAATGGTCTCGTCTACTAAGCTACATTGTGTCACATCTCAGAAAACAGTAATTTTCATAGTGACCAATGTGAGAACCTCCAGTCTTACATTAACACTACCTCTTGATATCATTTTAACTGAAGCTTTACAAACATGACACTGCTTTATCAATTATTTAATTTTATTACAGTTGCAAGTGTTGGATCACAAAAGTAAGGGCTCACCAACATGTTACTGTGAAGACTGTATACAACGTAAAAGGGATAAAGGATCATTAATGGGATCTGTAGAAACTGAACCAAATAAAGCACAGAGAAGTAGTGATAAACAGCAGGAACAACATAAGAGGAAAACTGGTGCTAATTGTTCACCTGAGGAACCAGCTTCAAATAACAACAGCTTATTGTCAAATATAAGGATCTCCTCTCCAACTTTTCCCTCTTCAGCCACTCCACAACAGCAGTTATCACTGTCACCATGCCAGTCATGCAAGAACACTCAAGATTTAGTCGAGACATCGGCACCTCTTCTCAACACCAATTCCTCCTTAAAGAACTGCTTACATTGCAATGGCAACTGGTCATCAAGTGAGCACTCTCAAGACTGTGGCTATTCATCAGAGAACAATAATGGATGCTGTGATACAGGGTCTGCTTCATCTAGCCTTCCCAGCTCTCCTGAGGGATCAGAAATAGCCTGTTCAGATGGATTTTGTAACCATGAAGGTAACTGTAATTAACACATTTGCTGCAATGTGCCCATACTGAGATTTTTAATACAGTCATTGCCATGCCCCCATACTGGAATTGTTAATACAATGTGCCATGTCCCCTTTCTGGGATTTTTAACACAATCTCTGTCCATGGCCCTATACTGAATATAGTACTTCGCAAATACAAGAGAGCAAGTGAAAAACAGCTGACATTCTTAGTGTGTTTCAACTCTTTCAAGGTTCAAGCTACATTTCAAGATCCTCTGCAATTGAGTGACATCTGTCAGAGAATATGACATTTATGCACACAGTGCAAATGTCCTGTCAATTGACAGCATTTTCACTGACATATGGCAAAATTCAGCGCATCCAATGTGTTTTATGGGCCGCATAGAAAACACGATGTCAAACAGTTCTGTTGTGTGTATATTCATTGCTCTGGGAACGTGTTTACTGAACCATTGCCTAGCAACAGCCATCTCTTCTGGCTCCGCTACTCCAGCTTTCAAGCATAAAGGGAGAATACACAGGCAGCAAGGTGATCTCACAATCCTTTTTTCTTTTCATAATAAGGAAAGTGGGGTAATATATTTGCGTATGAAGTGGCAGGTCATACAGAAGAGAACAGGAAGATGATAATGGATCAATTTTATATTGTTTGCATTATCAAACATGTCGCTCTTCCTCTTCTGAAGTGTTTGTTAAGGTCACAACTTCACTCACCATTCATATTATAACCAAGTTAGTTCCATTTGGTTGTTTTAGAGTTGGAGTGATTATATAGCATAATTAGGCTAACTGTTCAATTGGTAGAACATGACAGGCCTTGTTCTAGCTAGGCAGGAAAAATGAATACTGTTCCACACAATGCCATTGCACGGACATTATTTTTAACTTTACTTAACAGTCATCACTTTACACATTGTTACAAATTGAGATCCTTTGTTGGTTCTTGATAGGCTGATAATTACAGTTTGTGTTACTTTTTTGCTATAATAGGAACTACTCAGTATTGTGTCAGGTCACTTCGGACACCAGAAACAGTCTCTTTGTACTGTGCTCTATAATCATAACGTGCAACCACTGCCACCAGATTGCATCATGCATTCCTTCGAAACTGTTCCCCGCAACGTGATATTTTCAGAAACAAATCAAGCCCAAGTTTAGTTTTATTGTTATTTTGTGAGGTGTTGTGTCATGTAACACAATTCTCTACATAAGGTCTATCTTGACATGTACTTGCTAAAATACTTTGTAATTATGATACAATATTAACATAAAAATGTAATCATAATATATATACAGGGTGTCCCAGGAGGAATGTGCCAAACTTCGGGAGGGTGTTCCTTATGTTAAAGTATGCCGATATAACCCAAAACACCTATGTCCAAAGTTGAACGGTTACGGAGATAATGGCCAGAGAAGTGTCAAACTTTGACCGGGGTTACACACTTGTTGATTACAAAATAGATATTAAAACTGGCAGGAATATGTGGATTCTGTAA